AGGCGGGTCTCGAATCCGCGGGCTCAGGCAATCCACTCACCTCAGCCTCCCAAAGTGCTGCAATTACAGGCTGAGCCACCGAGCTCGGCTTAGATGCTTGATTATAATAGAATCAGTGACATTGTGGACAATGGGTTATTTATCTCAAGGTTGGTGAGCAAAAATTCATCTACACATGGTAAGCAGAAGTCTAGGGTTTTATGTATACAAACACCCTTCCCTACAACAGTCTAACAAAAGGAGTTCACACAACCAGCACTCATAGTTTCCAGATTACAAGTCCACAGCTCCTTGAGGTAATTTAAAATAAACCTTCAACTATTATGGGAAAGCCTTTTATCCTTAAGAGCTCAATTCTATGATAACAAAACACTGAATAAATGTATTACACTTTAATGTTATGGCAAAAGCATGTAAATATCATCTAACCCTCTTCCTTATTTATCTAAGCAGTACTACCAGCCCAAGGCTTGTACCCACAAAGTCCCAAATTGTTGTGTCAGCAGTTTATATCTCAAGTTCTTCTAGATGCTGCTGAAACGTGTAGCTTGCGATTTTTGCTGTTATTTTAACCAAGGCTGTTTCATAGAGTTAGGACTTATATCATTTATTTCCATTACTGAAAACATCTAGCCTAATGCCGCAGATGAAAATTCAGTGTCTTTCGCTGGTTAGATTAGTGTTATCAGGGTGTGTTCCTTTTTTTTTTTTTTTTTTGTTGGAGTCTCATGATCATGCAGGCTGGAATACAGGGCCATGCTCACGGCCACCACAGCCTTGACCTGCTGGGTTCAGGCAATCCTTCCACCTCAGCCTTCTAGGTAACTGGAACCACAGGCGTGTGCCACCACACCTGGCTAATTTTTTGATTTATTGTAGAGATGAGGTCTTGCCAAGTTGCTCAGCCTGGTCTCGAACCCCTAGGTTCAGGCAATCCTCTCACCTCCGCCCCCCAAAATGCTGGGATTAAGGCATGAGCCACCGCACCTGGCTGAGATGTGTTCTTTTTCTGCACATCTCTGAGCCCATGTCAGACTTACTGAATTAGGATCTCTAGGGAGAGACCTGTGTGGTGCATTTGTAACAAGATCTCCATGTGATTCTTACCTGCATGAAGAGTGTGAACCACCAGGAGGTGGCCTACACACTGGAGAGGCAACACAGTGTAGTCAGGGCTGGGATAGTAGTACCCCTGAGGGACTGGAGCACAGAGAAGGAGCCTGCACCCTTGGGTGGAGGTCAGGCAGGCTTCCTAAAAGAAATAGGAATGTCTTTTTTTTTTTTTTTTTTTGTTGAGTTGGAATCTCACTCTGTCACCCAAGGCTGGAGTGCAGTGGTATGCTCACAGCTACTGCAGCCTCGACCTGCTGGGCTCAGGTGATTCTTCTACCTCAGCCTTCCAAGTAGCTGAAACCACAGACTCGCGCTTCCATGCCTGGCTGATTTTTTTAATTTGCTGTAGTGATGAGGTCTCGCCGTGTTGCTCAGGCTAGTCTCGGACCCCTGAGTTCAGGTAATCCTCTCGCCTCCGCCTGCCAAAGTGCTGGGATTATAGGCATGAGCCACCGTGCCCGGCTTAAGAAGTAGGAACGGCTGGATGCAGGTCGATGCTGGGATGGCCACGAGTGTGTCACTGCACTCCAGCCTGAGCGATGGAGTGAGACTCCAACTCAAAAAAAAGTAGGAATGTCTAAACCAGAGTTTCTCAACCTTGGCACTTTTGACATTTGGGGACCAATAATTCTTTGTTGTGGGGGGCTATCTTGTGCATTGTAGTATGTTTAGCACTATCCCTGGCCTCTACCTGCTAGACGCCAGTAGCACCCCCTCAGTTGTAGCAACTAAGAATGCCTCCAAATATTGCCAAATGTGCCCTGGACAGAAAAACTGCCCTCACTTGAGAACTACTGTTCTCACTAAGGTAAAATAGGATGTAAGAGAATGGAGGAGAAGCATTCTAGTCAAGGAGCCCTTGGGAGGAGGAAATTAAATCAGGAGTGGCAGTGACCCTGATCCAAGCTGAGCCATGAGCAGTGACTGGGAGATCCCAAGTGAGGGAAGGTAGAATAGCATTCCAGGGGTAGGAGTGATAGGAGAAAAGGAAGGAGGGGAAAGAGATGACAAGGTGCGGGGTGCTGAGGAGGGGATAGGGAGAAGGCCTATCCCAGATCCTAGGGCCTGGTAGACCAGGCTGGGCATGGGCATTTTATCCAGACCTGTCATGCCTCTCCTTCACTAGTGTGTCCCAGAACCAGAGGCTACGGGATGGGATGCCCACCCTTTTCTGCCCAGGCTCAGCCCTCCCCTCTGCCTTTGCCCATAGTGCCTCAACCTGGCCTTCTTGCTGGCGGACGTATGGTTCAGCTTTCTGCCAAGCATCTACCTCATCTTCCTGATCATTCTGTATGAAGGGCTCCTGGGAGGTGCAGCCTACGTGAACACCTTCCACAACATTGCTTTGGAGGTCAGTACCAGCTGGGCGACGGCTGCGGGTGACCTCTCTGAGGAACTCCAGGGCAGGGATCTATAGAACTGAAGCCTCACCCCTGTCTTCTGCCTTCTTCAGACCCGTGATGAGCACCGGGAATTTGCCATGGCAGTTGCCTGTATCTCTGACACTTTGGGCATCTCCCTATCGGGGCTCCTGGCCTTGCCTCTGCATGACTTCCTCTGCCATCTGTCATGACACTCAGGCCCCTCGAGACGCAGGACACAGTGACCCGTGGGCAAACTGACAGGTTGAACAGCCAGGCCCACCTCAGAGCCCATCCATGAACTCTGCTCCCAGCCTTCCCAGCAGGGCTGGGATTAGGGAAGTGCAAAGGCTTTATTCCCCTTGAACAAGGGGGCAGCCATTGCCTCCCACTCCCGAGATGATCTCGGAGAGTTTCTTCTTGGCATCATGCCCTGAATAAATGCCTGTTTTCTCAACTGTCTTGTGTCATTTTTCTCTCTAAATTTTTTTTATTATGAAAGTAATACATACCCATATATATGACTTCTGCCCAGTTTTGGAGGCTTTATTTATTAATTCATTCTTTTATTCATTGTACAGGACAATCTATATACGATTTTCCAACGTGAAAGTTTTCAGAGAGGTTGAAAGAATTGTAGAGTGAGTCCTCCTCCTGTGTATACACTACCTAGGTTCTACATTAACATTTTGGGCTGGATGTGGTGGCTCACCCCTGCAATCCCAGCACCTTGGAAGGGTGAGGTGGGAGGATTACTTGAGCTCAGGAGTTCAAGACCAACTTGGGCAACATAGTGAGACCTTGTCTTTACAAAAATTTTAAAAATTAGGCCAGGCATGGTGTCTCACACCTGTAATTCCAGCACTTTGGGAGGCAAGAGAATTGCTTTGATTCCAGCACTTTGGGAGGCAAGAGAATTGTTTTGATTCCAGGGGTACAAGACCAGTCTGGGCAACTTGGTGAGACCGCATCTCTACAACTAAAAAA